ACATCCTTTCCTTGCAAGCCTACAACTGGGTATCTCTGTTAGGTGTATGGCTTGGCCCCTGAAGAGGTCTTGGAAATTTAGTGACTCAGCTATGTTTCTCCAGTTTTCCCTGCTGAGCTTTCACTCTAACTCTGGGTACACAGCATGAAAACTTGCTATTTCTTGGGTATTTTATAAAAGAAAACAAGCTACATTGGACAGGTCCCAAGCCAGAGACTCTGAGATTGTGCTCACAGAGGAATGACAAACATCAAGACAGGATGTCCTTCTTCCTTTTCTTTGAAATAAATACACTTTGAAAACAAGCAGTCTTTGAGATACAAGCAAGACAGTGTCCTCTAGGTTGTTGCAAACAGCAGCTCCTCATAACCAGCATTAACATGAATAAAGAAAATTTATCACCTTTCTGAGCTTCAGCAAAAACTAGGAACACAAATGGCTGAGGGTTTCCCTACCCAAGGCCTTGCATAACTTTACTTCTGCTTCTCTGCATCTTTACAAGCTGAACCACACAGACATGTCACCTTCTCTTACCAGCTACATGTCACAGCATCCTCCTCACATTCCCTCTGGGCTCCCAGCATCACCTCATGCCAGAAGCACTTACCTCTTGGAGGCAGGATGGAAAAGCTTGACAAACTGAGCCATGGCTGCTTCCAGTGATTCAGGGAGAGGCTGGTACCCATCACTGAAGAGGCTTGTGGGCCAGCTAGAGGTCACCACAACTTGTCATTCATGGCTTTTTGCAAGACCCCCCTGCAGGTTTTGAGCATAGCTTGGCTCTGGTGGGAGCAGCCAGGAGGGTGTCCTGGCTTTGAGGTAAGGTACAGCAAGAACTTGTCCTGTCCTGGCAAAGTGCACAACTTGCTGCTGTGTGTGCCTCTGGTCTAGCTCTAGCCTGGTGCCTTCTTTGGCAGTAACTGTGACTAAAGTGAAGGTGATAATTAAATTACTCTCACAGAGAGTAGGATTCCCTTAGAATGTGTTGTTTCCCTGACAGTGTTCCTACTGGAATAATGCAGAGGATTCAGGGCTATATTTGTAGGTGTTGTGCAAGTGAAGAGTTAGGGGTTACATTACTCAGATGATAACTACTCTTCCCTGTGCCTTATAATAAACTCCCATTGGGCCAAACCAATATTTTTCCACTTTTTTTTCTGCATGGGAATTTTGTATTTCATCAGTGCCTCCTGCTTCTCAAGAGCTCTTTGATGTGTAGGGTCCAGTTTGAAGAAATGGCACACTGGCTTTGTGCTGCACCCCTATATGATATGGCAAGGGCTTGTTCTCTCTTTGAGCTGCTGGTGTCTGCAGTGACATTTCTGAACAATGTCTTGCAGTCACTTCTGGCCACATCTGTTCCAACCCAGCACAGCTGTATATGCAAAAAAACCCTCCCAGGCTCTCCACAGCTGCATCATCCATGGGTTTCCTGCAAACATACACTTCAGAGGGCAGCAGAGCATTCTTATCACCATTGGGGCACCACTGCCAGAATTACCTCTGAGGAACTAGCTCAGGGTCCTCATTGTACTTCTTAGCCCTGTGTTTCCTGCTGTAGAGGCCTTATAACTCCTTACATATGTGTATCTAAATTAAATAGTTCAAAACTGATGCCAATATTAATTACTCATTTCTAGAGAGTCCAAACTCCAGAACAGGAGGAGGTAAGTGCATGACAATGGGGCATTTTTCAGTAATGGCACAGATTTAAGCTTCTGAGTGGGCTGTGTAGTGTGAAGAGGGAAATGCAACATCTTGGCATGTTCGGAAATAGCCAACCATTGTGTCTATGGCCAAGCAGCAAAAGCTGAGATTTGAGTTCCTTCTAAACCCACTAAATGCTGTTTTCAAGTTACCCTTCTTCAGAAGGCAGGTAGGGTATGTCTGACCACAATGGGCTGGAGGTTCAGTTCAACACAACTGTTGTAAACATTTGGGGCTCCTGGTCAGAGAGGAAGTACTGAAAAGCAGATGAACAGGACCAGTAACCTGGTTCTCCCTGCTTGTAATTGACCTAATTGGTGTGGGCATAGATCAAGTGTTGTTTTTAAGAAGACAACAACCTATTATTTCCAAAGATTCAAAATCTGCCAGATTTTTTGCATGCCTCTGTTGAAAGCCCACGAGACTGTAACTTACTGCAGAAGGGAACATCTGCATCTAATTGATGAAACTCAGTGTCATAATGGATGATTCCAATGAACTAAACCGTTTTGTCAGTCATTAGGTTGTGGATTATAAATTAATCAGAAATCCCTCCCCTCTCCTCAGGTCTGTCTTGCATTTCCTGTCCCTTGTGGGGTTTTTTTCCTGATCTCAGAGCAAGTCTTGAATCTTTTTGGTCTCCCAAGCCATAATAAATGAAGAGTTCCTCCACTGCCATATTTCTGGAATTCACACAATGCACTTCCCCCTCTGCTTGGGTTTGGGGATGCAGAGCACCTGTTGGCATTCAGCTTGATATTGTAGCCAGCTGGTGGCTATGTGGTTTGTTGGGGAATGAGAGGCACCTGAGTTTGGATCAGAGACTCCTTGAATGTACACAGAGCATGCAAGATATTTCTCTCCAAGTGATGACAGATTCAAGTGCAAATGAAGGCAGGAAAGGGAGCCTGTCCTAATAGTGGGGGCGAGGGATTTGTTGGGGGATGCACTTATTCATTCAGCACTTTGGTGATTAATCCCACAAGATCCAAGGATCTGATGGCTGCTGCTTCTGGGTGTTAACAAAGTCTTCTGGTAGTAGAGGTGGGGCTGTGAGTGCCTCCAAGTGCCTTCTCAGTGTCTGAAAAAAGGCAACTAGATCAGTTCACATATTCCTCAAAATAAAATCTCAACCCTCAATCATTGCTAATTTAAGGAGGTTTGAGCCGATCTGTACTCCTCCCACATCCAGGAGTACCACCCTGTGATAGCAGCACATATTTTAGTAGAAGAGTTAGGCGTTATTTACTGTTTCTTGCTATGCAAATATCTTATTTAAAACTGAGCTCAAAAGATTAGCATGGAACAAAGGCAAGACTGCACCAATATGCTGGGATGGAGGGAAGGAATACAAGAGAAATCACAGCAAAGACCTCTTTCCTTCTTCCGAGTGTAGGAGCCATCCTGTCCCGGAGAGAAGACAAGCATATTCACTGGAAACCAGCTAGTTTGCAATAAAATTCAAGTGACAACAAATGTATTGTCAATCCTGATATGAATTAGCAAATGGATCTAAATGTTAGTATTTGTAGCCTCTTAAATTGCCATAAGGGTTTGCTATTTGCACCTGGATTTTTACCATGAATTAGCTAATCCAGACTAAGCCCCAAAATTTTGACCTCCGAGAGAAAAAAGAATCAGTCAATAATTTCTATTAGTTTATTTTGGTATTACATGCTATGGGACTCCTAAGGCATTAGACAGAGAATAATATATGTGTGGTAGATGAACGTGGTTTCTTTTCCGCTTGAGACTTCAAGTCATAGTCCAGCCCAGGTGCTTTAAATGAGAAGCCTATAGTTTATTCCACTATAATTAACATAAGCCTTGATTTAAATGACACTTTTACAAGTCAAATATTGGATTTCAAGTTGAATACAGAGCACAGTTTCCACCCACGATGCTGTTGTGGTCTTTCTCTGTGGCCATCCTGCATTCACCCTGAAAATCCCTCAGAATGTGAGCAGCACCTGCTGGAAAACAAAGGTTGTGACTCGCAGAACAGGTCTGGCTTTTTGTTTCTATTTAGGGGCTTTTAACATTTGGCATTGCATTTTTTTCTTTCCATTTCAGTATGAGCCAAGGGGTGGGAAGCAAGAGGAAAAAAGTCTGGAGTATTTTGATCTTTGTGGCTTTATATGGACTTCATAAGCTTCGTTTGTTCTAGTGCCAGGCTTCCTTTGTGTTTAAATAGATAACAGACCAAGACAACTAATCATTTCCAATAAAAAGCCCCACACCAAACTCAAAGCATTCCCTTTCTTTTCCAATTACTGCTTGTAAACCCATGCTCCTAGACAGGGCTTGTGACCTAAGCACTTGTGATTTATTTTCTTCCCCTTTTCAAAAACAATTGCCCAAGGCATAGACAGGGCTCTGTGCTCTGCAAATTTATGAAAAAAATCTTGAAAAAAGGCTCTGAGAGTGTCTTTGGGAGAAGGTAGTTGTAAATATGATGTGTGAGAGCAGCTTCTTGTACCTTTACAGCAGCATGGTGGTTAGTGCCACCATTTACAGACTTCCTTCCGCTTTGGAGGCTGAAGGCTATTTATGGGGAATGAAGAAATAGCAAATTTCACATGGAACTGCCACTGTGTTATGTAAAATGCATGTTGATTGCTGGTTTACTAGTGAGAGCTGTTATCTGCTGTCACTTGTTTGAGAGGCTTTGCATTTGAAGAAGAGACAATTTACACAATGAAAACCACCTAGATTTTACTGCTTATTGAAGTAAATAAGGCTGAATGTCCTTGAAACAGAAGATTAGTTGGATGGATGAATCATGGGTAATCATCAAAGCAAAGGTTCTTTTTGCATTAGAATGTTTTTGTAATGAAAATAACACAGAGTTCGATATGCTGTGGTGACACATTTTCTCTTTAGCTTCTTAAGATTTTTATCACACAACCAACTGTTTAGGGCAACACATTTGTGAGATCAAAAAGCTGTATGTTAGCCAACAGCAGAAATGATCAGTAGTAGAAAGTGAGAATTATGTGAATTACTTATCTGGGTTATATTTCTGTGGAGGTTGACCATTCAACAGACACAAAGAGCGGCTTTCCAGATTAGACGTATGAGATTGATGCTCCACAAAAGTAGAAGTTAGACTTGCACCAGCTCAACGAATTTCTGTGTCTTGAGGCTATCTTACACCAGCCTCTGAAGGGAAAGAAAAGACCTGCCTTCAGCATGTCTAGCAAACTGCATCCTGTGCATAATCTCCAGCAAGATCTAAGTTTATTTGTTTTATTTCCCAGGTGTATTATTCCTGTGGTGCTGTGGTGGAATCGATGGAGAGAGGCCTGATTTTATCACCAGGTTTTCCAAACAACTATTACCCAGGGACACACTGTGTTTGGCAGTTTTTCATTCCCATGAGAACCCACCTCATTTTGGAAATTTTTGACTTTGACATTTTTGAGAGCTCTAGTGAAACTCCAACTCCCTGGGATGACTTTTCAGCCCCTGCTACAACAGGAAATAATGACATACCTTCTCTTGAGGAAAACCTAGACTTTGCTCTCCATACTACAAAACCCTCTCTCCGGACCTGGATGTCAAAGGTGGCTCAGAATCTGAGCAGCACTAGAGATCAGTCAAAGGACCTTGCTGGTCGCCTGGATGAACTTCCAGGAACCACCTCAAAAAAAGACGAAGCCAAACAAGCATCTGAAGAAAACCAGTCAAAGCAGATGAAGGAACCCAAAGCGATTACCAAGGCTCAACCAGAGCAACTGCCATTCCCTGTGACTGGTAGTGCTACAATGCAGAGGCAAAATACCAGTGGCCTGGAAACAGAAGATTTGGAAGGGAAAATCTTGCTTGCCCACCTAGCTGCTAGTGAGAGAGATGAAGTTACAGTAGAGAGCTGGACTCTTCCCTCAACACCATTGCCCATGGAAATATCCTCCAGCCCTCAGTCAGCAGTGGATGTCTGTCCCCATGATGTACTATATGTTTCTGATCTCATCACATTTTCCTCTCGCTTCTGTGGGCCAAATTCACCTTTAAACAAGACCATGGTCTTTGGTTCCTCTCTGGAAATGGTTGAGGTTATCATGGAACTGATCACCACCACAGATCGGGGACGAGGCTTTGCAATGCTCTTCGAGTACAAGAATATCACAGAACCCAACACTGTAGATGCTGTGAGGCAGGAGAGGAAGGAAAGCCTGATGATGCTGGCAATTACAACAGGGATCATTGTTTTTGCACTTGCTTTGCTCTCTGCCCTTTGCATAGCTTGCAGGTAAGGTGATGCATATTGGAGCCTTTGAAGCATGTAATATCATCCTTAGGGAAAAGACTAGAAAACCATCATGTTTCGTTTGCTCTGGTAATGCTTGTTGTCCTTCAAACATAGCAAAGTGTGTGGGTACAGAGGAGGTCAGTACCAGCCACTGCTCCTGCCCTAGGCTCCTCAGTTTTCTTTCCTACTTCTACAGCTCCTGTAGCTCAAATTAATTTTATTTTTCCTGCAGAAGTACCTGAAGGGTCAGGACTTTCCTGGACTTTATTATGTTTCAATGGCAGTGGTGCCTTTGAACCTCAGTTTTGCGACACTAGCTGGCCAATGGACAAAAGCAGAACAGAAAGATCATCCTTCCCCAAGTCTCCTGACCAGGCTGAGCTGACAGCCACTGCATCTTTTCACAGAGATCCCACAGTTTGACTCTAACCATCACTAACATTCTGCAGAAAAATAAATATTAACTGAAATATTACCACCTAGAATTAAGACTACAAAATATTTCCTGGTCTGTAGCATGTTTTATCCAAGACACTGTGCAGACTTTTTAACTCTAATGCATGAAGTGTGTTAAGAACTGCACATGCCTTTGATGCTGGGGAACAGTTGAGAGCCATGCTGCAGTGCTGCCTTTGCTTCCAAATGTAACCCAAAACAATAGTCAAGAGAGCTGATGGTCAGGCTGGGTTGGTTGCTGATTTCCTGAGCCTGATGCTAACTAGTTAAATGGCTAAAACAGACAGTTACAAAAGCATAACTCTCCACTCAGGAGCTTTTATTTCATGTATTTCTTTTCTCTATATCTATCCAAGGAACCCTTCTCCGCCCCCCAGCATATGTTGGCATTTTTCTTTCTAACTCCCTAGTGAAAACATTTTTGTAGAAACAGTGTTTTAAATTTGTTTCTCCCTTCCAACAAATTCAAATCAGAGGACAGGCTCCCCAGGTTTTTGTCAAAATAAACAGTAGTTTTCAAATGTTTTGACTTCAATGAAAACATTAGGTAAACCGAAACAAACACTGTCCCTTGCAGGGCTCCACTGTGGTGACTGGGTATTGCCAATAGCACTCATTTCCCAGAGCCAGTGTGCAACTAGTCTGACTTTTCCTGAATCCCTTGCCTCATCTACTGTGCATTCTGCAACCCAAAAGGTCTCAGGATTGCCCAGGCACTCCTAGTCACTGAGGCTGGTTTGAGAGAGGAACTCTGTTTTCCTTCTCCTTCTAAAGGCTGCATTTCTAGCTCTGGCTGAATAAACACCAAATATAGGCCATCACACTGGGTATCAGCACAGGCACAGTGGTAAAGCTTAAATATAATCTCTCTTGTTGTATATATAGAAATTCCTGCTTTCAGGGTCTGAGCTTTACATAGTTGTAAGAGTTAAACTTGCATGTGTTACATCTAACTGACCTTTTTCCTTTTTCAAGAGCTTGCAGAGCACTAATTTAGACCACAATTTTTTTGCTAGCTCTAAAGGAAAACGTCTGGTGGAAAATGTCTTCCAGATACCAAATCCTTTATTTTTATACCCTTGCCAATCTTCAGAAGAGACAGAAACAGGCTCCCTTTGCTATGGCAGCAGTCTGGGCTGATACACATGTTGAGTAGGCTGTTCTTGCTCCAATACCCCTATTTAATTTCACTGTAAGGATACATGAAGCAGAGTATTATTCAAACCAAAAAGTGCACTGGCAATCTGAGGTTCCACTGGCTGAGGTTTACTCTGTGTAGCCTGTTTAGAAAGTCAAGCCATGCTGCTCACATTCAGTTTGGCTTTTTTTGCTTGTCACATGTTTACAAAATAATGTTCTGCTCTTGCTGACCAACAGAGAAAAAAGTGCACACGATTTCACCCCCACACACAAATGTTTGTGTGTTCTGGTCACTGGGAATACATCCTACCGGGAGTCCTATGGCACAGGATCAGGATTAGACTCACTTCTTTTAAGGCTGGCACTTATGCTTTTTCATTGCCCTACAACATTTTTTTTTTTAAAAAAAGAAGATATCTGTATCTCAGACAGCTATTCACTGGATATAAATAGAGACTATCCCTACTTCTTCAGCCTCTCGAAAAGCCATTAACTATCCCTGCACGATATTTCAGGGAGGCCTTGATTACACCACTTTATATTTTGTCAGACTTAAAGCATTTAGGTGAGATCTGACACAGGTGAAAGTGATGCCATGACCTGTGCTGAGTTACCTCACTTGTACTGCACTGGAAGAGTCTTTTTTCCTCTTTTACCATGCTAACTGCTCTGAGGGTATTGGTCTCTGGCCCCAGACACACTGGCACTGGTTGGAGCTTGCCTATACTTCCCAGCTGTGGTTTTTTAAAGCAGCTCAGAATAAGACTGCAGAGGCCATTAAGCACATCTAAACTTCTTTTAGATTGAGCCCATCGAGCTCTATTTTATGCTTCTTGCCCTAAAAAGTGCCTTGAAATCAGGTGTCAAATGTGTATTAGCCACAGCCTGTCCTCACTGCAGCAAACATCAGGGTGGCAAGGGATGGGCTGAGGGGAGAAATGACGATGTTTTAGCAGTGCAGCACACTCAGAGCTGGGACCAGCTCCCCGAGGCACAGTGACACTCACCCTGGCTGGACTGTGCCACTGCAGAGGATGTTAATAGTAACCTTGGAGCTCTTGGCCTTGTAAACTTGCCTTCCACTTTCTTTTCTCTTCATACTTTATTTGTTCCTCTGGTACCAGGTTTGGCTGTTGATTTTTTTTTTCCATTTCTATCTGCTGCTCTTGCTCAGCTAAAAGTAGCAAGCTCTGCCTTGCCAGGAGTAGAAATGGCCTGGGATGGGCTTGGCACCCACTGCCACTCCGATGCACCAAGTCGTCAGCAGTATCTGCTTGGGCTCATTGCATTCAGCCAGGGCAATGCTCTCTGGGGAAACTCCAAGTCTCTGCCACACTGCAGCTTTTGTTTGCTACTTGGGGAGGGGATGAAAGCTTCAGTTGTTAGTTGGCCAATAATTCTAATTACTTTTGGCCATGAGGCCTGGCTCGAGTAATGGGGTATTTTTTATTTTCTTTCCCAAGCCCCAAGAACAACAGACGTGTCCACCTTATTTAATTTTAATCCTATCCCATGCAGTAAAACCTTTGCTCTGTGGTTGCAACCCATGGATTGCAACTGCATTTTACATCTACTCAGCCTCCCAACGACCTGTTTGCAATTGTAACCCCTATGTGTACAGCGATTCCATCAAGTCATCGCGTGCTGCCGTCTCTCCCCATGCAAGTGGTGCTGCCAGTGGCTGCCCATCCATCACCTGGGGGTGAGAGTTTGCCTTTCTCATGCAATGCCCTCCTAAAGAATCCCTCTGAGCTAAAACCAGACCTTTCCTCTGCCATCCTCATGTTAGGCACAACCCAGACACTCCTTCCTGCCTGTCGTAGCTGTGTCCTCCATTTCTCTCCTCTACACGTCAGACTGACTTAGTTGGAGAGCTAGGACAGCTAGACCTGGCTGGAGCTGACTGCTGTGGAGCACAGGGCAATTTTCACACTTCTTCCAACAGACTTAGTTTTTTTGTTTACTTAAGAAGTTTGAAACAGCTTTTTTTTTAAAAAAATTGCAATTTCTTTAAAATGATTGAAACTCATGTATTTGCACATTGGCTGTTTTATGTCCATGGGCCGTGCACTGATTTAAATCTCTGGTCTTCTTGGGGGAGAGGTCCTGCAGTAGTAGGCCATGGGAGATGCAGTCCAACAGGAGAATGAGCTAAAGAAAGATTAACATCCCCAGCCTTGCAAACTAGAGCTGGGAGGAGAGGAAGACAGTGAAAAAAATGGATGCAGTGTGGACAAAGCAGGGAATCAGAGAGTCCTCCCACCATCTACCTGAATGCCCTGATCACCACCCTAATT